TTTTGGTCAGCACACACAGCATGTCCCGTACATGCCTGAGTCCATCCCAAGACATCAGGAGGAATTTGGCTTCACTAACCTTTGATTAGAACTCAAACTCATCCAGGTCTTGCATGAAACCATCAATTGTGATGTTTTATTCGTGTGTAGTGGCAATAATGGCTCCTGATGCAGGGCCTTTAAGTTCTGTATCTCAAATCGAGTATCTGTTATAACCTTTGAGACCCCTTGGGCTAACCGCTAGCACAAACAGCCTCTCAAGATGAAAAGGGAAGGTGTATGGATTTGTGTTTGTGGGCACACAGGGCCTTTCTTGAGAACTAATTGTGGGCATGTTGATCTGGATCGTTGTGATGGGTTGTATGTATCTAGTGGGTCTGTCCTGTGTCCAGTACCATTCAATATTTTCATTAACAACTTGGATAATGGAGTGGAGAGTACGCTTGTAATATTTGCGGATGACACCCAGCTGAGAGGAGTTTCACGCACTTTGGGGGACAGGATTGGAATTCAAAATGACCTCAACAAATTAGAGAATTGGTCTGAAATCACCAAGATGAAATGTAATAAAGATAAATGAGAAGTACTACACTTAGGAAGGAAAAATCAAATGCACAGCGACAAATGAGGAATAACTGGCTAGTTGGCAGTTCTGCTGAAAAGGATTGGGGGCTATAGTGTCTATGAGTCAACAGTGTGATGCAGTTGCAAAAAAAAAGCTAATATCATGTTGGGGTGTACTAACAGGAGTGTCATATGTAGGACACAGTAGGTGATTGTTCCCCTGTACTCGGTACTGGTAAGGCCTCAGCTGTGTCCCGTTGTGGGCACCATACTTTAGGAAAGATGAGGATAAATTGGAGAGAGTTCAGAGGAGAGCAACAAAAATGATAAAAGGTGTAGCAATCCTGACTGTGACATCCTGCTGGTACGCAGGAGTGGGATAAAAGGCTGATGAGAAGAACTTATTCCCAAATGAAGCTGCAGACCACAATCCCTCTTTTTTTTAAAACAGAAAACGTTTTCAATTTTTAAATAATGGCCGTTGTGAAAAAATATTGTTGTGTATTTGGTTGTCGTGGTAATAGAACCTTGTGTTGCTATGGCAACTGAGTTAAATTATTAGGAGATAACCCAGCCAGCTTGGCTGGCTGTTGGTTAGTTCTGTGTGTGGAAATAAATGGCTGCTACAAGGTTTACAGCTCTCTGTGTCTCCAGTGATTCTTCCTAAAACTGTTGCCTCCAAGGATATAACAAATATATTTTTGTGAATGTTAATGTGTTTTTAATGTCGTGCCTTTGCTATTTTTCTGTTCCTGCCTGACATTCTACTGAAATCTATTTAGACACACCACACAGTTTTACCGCCACACAGTTCCAATTAAATCCGCCCTGACTTTGCGACTTTGAGTGTCTGATGGAAGCTGGAGTGATCACTTGCAGAAGTGGCGACTCATCACAACTGGAAGTTCCCCTTTTGAGTTTGGAGGTTTTTAAGAACAGATTAAACAATGATGGAAATTCCACTATGGCCCCTGGAAGTCCATTCCAATGCTTAAACTATCCTTCTAATTCAAGTTTTTCCTAATATCTAACCTAAAACTCCCCTGCTGCAGATTAAGCCCATTATTTCTTCTCCTATCTTCAGTGGACTTGGAGGACAATTGATCACCATCCCATTTATAACAGCCCTTAACATATTTGAAGAGTCTTCTCAGGTCTACCCTCAGTCTTCTTTCCTCAGGACTACACATGCCCAGTTTTTTTAACCTTTCCTCGTTGGTCAGTGGGACAGAATACACCTCTGTATTCACACCCTACACCATTGTAATAATCTTTGTACAATGTACGCCTTGGAAGGTATCACCTGAAAGCTCATAATTTGTTGATCAGTATTGTCATGGTAAAATGTATGTGGCAACATTGTATGTGCAGTTATAAGATTCCCTGTACAATGTTATTAACACATGTGCCAACCCCCACAGCCCTGCCCAAACTAAGGTTGACAAACAGGTCTGTCCTAAACAACGGAATGTGTACTCTGCTTAACTTGCATGTAAGCAGTAAACGCAGCCATCAAGCAGGAAAGGAAACAAAAAAAGCTCAAACAGGTGAGGAAAAGCCAGCAGGGAATATCCTTCCACATAGACTCTGTCTCCTAGTGCACATCTGGAAATGTTTTCAAGAGGGGGACTGAAACTATAAAAAGGACGGATAAAACACCCCAAGGGACCCCTTTCTCTCTCTCTCTCTCTCTCTCTCTGCCCATCACATTCACTGCACCTGAAAGGACAAAGAAAGCATTCATTGGACAAGATGGGGAGGGGTCCTGACCTACAGGGTTTGGTCAGTAGGACTGCTGAAAGTATGTGGTGAGAAACTTGGCTTGAATCTAACACAGTTTGTCAGGTATTAGTAATTGTTTTATCTTTATTTTCCTTGTAACCATTTCTGATTTCTATGCCTCGTTGCTTGTACTCATTTAAAATCAACGTTTTCCAACACAAATCTGTTTCACTGGAAAATTCCCAAACAGCTCCAAGGCTGACTCCCATGGCTTTACAGAGTGTGGTCTTTTAGGGTGTGAAATGGTGTCTCCAAAAGGTAGTGGTGGAAGCTCTGGGACTGCTAATGACTGGACAAAGCACAAGACAATGTGCTCGAGAGAGCAAATCTTTAGCGGCAGGGAGATGGGTTGGATAATCTAGTGGGGCGTTGCCATCTCTAACGTCTACGATTTTGAACGCTGAAAGTACTGGCTGACTGGCGTGCTTGATGCACAGTGATGTGCTGGCTTGGGCAGTGCGGTAGAGTGCTGGAGGGAGAACTGCTTTCCAGAACCTGGAGAAAGGGTGGCTGGCAGAGGATGTATCTGACTGAAAACTGGCTCCAGAGTGTATGGAGACTATTTCACCTCCATTAGGGTTGTACAAAAGAATATCTGTATTAAGCAGCGTGGGTGGGGGGTAAGTGTGGGTGTACGTATGTATTATTGGTTTGTATTACCATAATGTCTGGAAGCCCTAGTCACAGACCAGAACAAGAAGACAGTCTCTGCTCCCAATGGGTTTACAATCTTAAGTAGAAGGTGAGAGGCAACAGATAAAGACAGACCGACAGGGGAGCAGAAGGAAACAGACAATATTTTTTAAGCCACTGGCTGTGTTGGGGGGGGTAGGGTGGAGTGAGGAGAAGCCAAGCAGAAGCAGGAGTCTGTAGAGGAATAGCCAGAATTGCTCTGTGGGGAAGAGTAGGCCTGAGTACGTGCTGGACTCGCTCGGCTGGCGCATGCTCATGGCCATGTTGATCTAAAGCATCCCCTGTCCTTTGCCGAGGCCTACCTAGTACCGGGCCTGGGCTCTCCAGGTGAGGTCAGAAGGCGCTTAGCTCCCTTTGTTCCTCTTCCCTGCCCCTTCTCTTGTACCTCCCCTGTAAATATACACTTGGGAGAGAGATTTCTGGGATCGGAACTTTCAGAGAGTTGCATGGGACCCCCTAAGTGCTGCCCCCCCAGTCTTACAGTTGCCTGGCACAGTTAGGGGATATTTGCATTCCAAGGTGTGCCTGTAGGTGGCACGGGACAGGGCAACTGGGGATCTACCTCCGGTTGCAGGCCACTTTAAACTCATACAGAATCTCATGGGCCCTCCTGCTGTTTCAGCCCTAGTGTTCACCAGATCCACATGAAATTCCTCGCTCTCTATCCACCGACTTTCACTTCCTTGACATACAGTGGTTAAGTCTGCAGTGCTGAAATCCTTGCTGTGCGCTGACAGCGCTGCTGCAACTTCTCCTATTTCTCTGTCCTGCCTCTTGCACTTGTGTACAAACCCTCTAGAAATCCCCTTCCCCTCCAGTGATCTCTGACCATCTTGGTTTTGAACCATTTCCTGAATCTTAGTCCTGACATTATTCCTCTTTTCACTTAGGCTTCCTGTTATCTGTTTGACTGTGGCTTCCAGTTCCTTTCTGCAAGCTGCGTATTCATCCCTACCACTGCTTCCTTTTCCTACCGCTTGTGTCGATCTGCTCTCTGCCCATATGTTTGTCTCTTCTCAACCAGGTTAAAATCTCACGCGCACAACACAGAGCTATTCTTTCAGCTGGGGACATCTTCCATTCAGATGTGGCTTGCGGCATCTGCTTCGGGCTTCTTATATAGAGCAAGGACAGTTTGGTGCTTAAAACACTAACCTGGGCCCAGGGCCAGTGCAACCCATTAGGCGACCTAGGTGGTCGCCTAGGACACTACGATTTGGGGGGTGCCGAAATACCACCGCGGTTGCCGGCGGGACCTTCCCCGCCTCTGTGTGTGTGTGTGTGTTTGCGGGGAGGGGGGATTTCGGGGCAGGACCTTCCGCCGCCCAGGGCAGCAAAAAAGCTGGCGGCGCTTCTGCCTGGGCCATGGGAAAGTCTGGTTTGATGCTTGCTCTGCCACAAACTTTTTGTGTGACCTTGGGCAAGTTCCTTAGTCTGCCTGAGCCTCCGGTCCCTGTATGTAAAAGGGGTGTAATAGCACTGCTTTCCTTTACCGGGGTCCTGTGAGGGCATATACATTGAAGAGCATGAGGCACTGAGATAGGAATGTGATGGTGGCCATATAATTACCTTAGATAATTAGAGGTTTCACCTTTTGTGAGTTGAGAATGTTTCTATGATTTATACTCCAGGGGCGCCTACAAATCTCAATCAAGATCAGGGCCCCATTGTGCAAGACTCTGCACTAGATCTCTGTAATATTTAAGCCTGGCTGTTATGTTTTCCTGAAAGCCAGTATAGATCCATTGTCCTAGGTTTTCTCAAACTGAGACCTTTTCCAGTCCAGAATGAAGGGATCTCATTTTATATATTCTTCAGACACAGGAGAAAAAATGTTGGAAAGGAAGCTAAGTATTAGAAACGGCTAAACTGTGAGCATCTTAAACTCCAAGTGGAGGTGGTGATATTGACAATGATCTGTCTTGATGCCCATGTGACGTGTTTTTTATTTGTGCTTGTAGAGTACCGATTTAACGAGCACAGTTGGCTACGACAGCATCATTCAACATCTGAATGATGGCAGGAAGAACTGCAAGGAATTTGAAGACTTTCTGAAGGAAAGGTACAGAGCTTTCTCTAAACGCCTAGTTAGTCATGACTAGGAAATGGGTTGGTAATATTTTGATCTTCTGTTCCACATCTGGTTTTTCTGTCTTTCACTGTCCACAGACGATGTAAACATCTTTCATGTTGAACTATATGGAACACGCATTTTTATGCTGCCTCTGGTACGAGGCTGATGCCGTGGGTGACCAGATGTCCCGAATTTATAGGGTCAGTCCCGATATTCGGGGCTTTGTCTTATATAGGTGCCTATTAGCCCCCACCTCCCTGTTCTGATATTTTTACACTTGCTATCTGATCACCCTATGTGTGTATTGTGCTTGAAATCCTGTGCCAATCAAATTTAATGTCAGTTCCCAAGCCTCGTGTTCAATTCTGCAGCCATTACATGCCTGTAACTCCCATTGAAGTCAGTGGAAGGTTTTTCTGGGCAGGGGGAGTTCAACCTATGATACCCACCGTTGTGAGGTGCTCAGATACTACAGTAATCATTGGATGTTTTTTCCTAAGAGATCTGCTCTAGGAAGTATTTTGGGGGTAGTTCGAGCGCCTGTGTTACACAGGAGGTCAGACTAGATGGTCACAGTGGTTCCTTCTGGCCTGGGAATCTATGACTCTTCAATGTGTGTAGCCCCCCAACACTCTTGTGAAGCGAGGAGGGACTGTTTTCTCTATTTTACATGTTCCCTATGGGGAACTGAGGCGACTTCTCAGGGTCCCACAGGAAGCAAGTGGTGGAGCAAGGAATTGAACCCAGGTCTTGGCATGATGCCCTAACCTCTAGACCATCCTTCCTCTCAGGTTAGGCCAGTTAGGCAGCTGGCATTTTATGGAAAACATTGGAAGGGAGCGGGGGCAAAAAAGTCTACTTGAAACTATTCTCACTATAGTCTTGCCCTGTGGCTTTGTGAAGTATTTCAACGTCGATTCACCAAAACAAACGAAAAATGTTTCTTACGCCAGCAGCTCAGGAGTACTTTGAACATGTAATCTGGATTTATGGCCGTTATTGTGTTGTTGACTGACGTGACAGAATCTCTGAAGCCTGGCATGTGTGCCCATAAACTGGAGGTGTGACACTCCCAGATTGCTTCGGAATGGTTGCTCTTTATTTTCCAGGGGCTCTCATGACTTTCTAATTGACAATCGGGAATTTTAGGGCCAATTTTTAACTGTTTCAGTTAAAAAAAAATTGGAATAGTGCCAATAGAGATTTTTTTAATTTTTCCTTAAATTCTTTCAGGGTGGGTGTTGGTACCTCTGCCTGGAGCACCCTTTACTCAGCTACACTGGGGTTATTGGTCTTATGTTTGCTGAATTAGATGCCCTTAAGGTTGTATTTCAAAGTATACATGCACTTTGTGGAACAGCATATTTTTTTTACAGGCTATTCAGCAAGCACTTTTTGGCATCATGCATCTCTGTGTCATTGTGCTCGAATGTGCAGGAGAAGCAGCATGGTCTAGTGCTTAAAGCAAGGGACCAAATTAGGTCTTTTTGTTTCTGTTCCTGACACTTACTTGTGGTGTGACCTTGGGTAAATCACGTAAATCTTTCTTGTCTCAGTTTCATCATCTAGAAGATGGGTCTAACACCGCCCTCCCTGAGGTGTGAGGCTTAAATAGGCATTTTGATCTTCTAGGATTAAATGGCTACAGAAGACGAGATTATAATTTAACACAAATAGAGTGTTGGCAAAAGGTGGTATATGGGCAGCCCTGGAGACCAAACTCCGCTAGTTATGCACAAGTACAGTCGAGTTACAAGACGAGCTTTCTCAACCCATTAATAGGTTTCAAACCTGACCTGGAAGGACCACATCTGTGGAATAAGAATTAGTTCAGCCTCCATTCCAAGGGTGATGTCATG